CCTCCCCATCTTCCCAGAATCCGATACCAAAGAGTCAGGGCCTGGGCCCCAGGGCCAGGAGGAGTGACCTGCAGGGTCTTTGGCCCTCTCTTTGCCAAAAAACACAAGATGGTGAGGCAAGGAGGGCAGGCCGCCGGGATGGGCGAGTTTTCTATGAATCGGTTTTTCTTTAGACTACAAGAGATTTGCTCGCCCGGCTCCCCAAAGGGTCGTCACCTTCCCCACCTCAGCCACCAGCTCGTCCCTCCTCCCCCTTTGCTGTTGGCAATCACACGTGGTGACCTCACACACCTCCACCCCTCCAACCCCCTTGGCTCCTGGTGGTCTGCGGAGAGCAGACCCAGGGCTCCACCTCTGTGCAGGGCACAGAATGCGGGGGACAGGCGAAGGGGCGGCGCCTCCTTACCCGCTCTGGGCAGCACCCCTGCCCACCGCCCCTTCCTGATTCTAAACCGTCTCAAGTGCAATGCCCCTCCCCTTCGCTGAGGGCAGCCTGCCCTGCCACAGCGATGCTGGAGGCTGTCGGGCCAAGCACACAGGGCAGAGGGGCCGTGCTGGAAACCAGCTGCTTCCGGTGGCCTCTCCCAGCACTCTTGGGGACCAAATGTATTTAATGGTTAAGGGACTTGTCCCAAGTCTGACAGCCAGAGCGTTGGCGAGGTCCAGGGGCCCTCCACGCAGGCCTTGGCTGTTCTGAGACTAGGCCTGAGGACAGTTTCTCTGAACCACTGACTCAGACAGTTAAAATTCTGCCACCTGCGTCGATATTTTTGCAAGAAAAAGAGAAACTTCTTTTTTTCCCCTTCTTGTAATAAATGATAAAATTCCGAGTCTTGATCACTGCCTTTCCTTTGGAACCGTGTTTAGAGAGAGTAGCTTGTCCTACACTGGCCTACACTGGTGGCTGAATTTACTTGTGTTCCTAACTGTTTTGTATATGCTGCATTTAGACTTACTATGGCAAGAAGGCATTTTTAAACATGGAAACAAGCTCTCAGCAAATCATGAAGTTCTGTCAAAGCTGCACAGGCCTAAAAAGCTCTGAATTCAGGTCCCAGTTGCTGTCACAAAGGAGTGAATGGAACCCCCACCCTACCCCCTTTTTATATAATAAAAGTGCCTTAGCACGCGTTGCCGCTGTCACCACTACAGGAAGCCGGTTTACAGATGTTTTCCACCGAGCGTCACAATAAAGAGTACTATGTGCTATGAGCGTGTCGGGTGGTGTCTGCAGGAGCGGGTGGCCTGAAGGGACTCTTGCTTTGCTTCTGCAGCGGCTCCCGTGTGCACCTGCGGGAGACCCCAGCTGCGAAGCAGGGCGGGGCCTGGATTGGGAGGCACATGCAGCAGTGCAGGGAAGAGGTGGAGGGACAGGCCAGGCCAGATTCAAGGGTGCCTTGAAACAAGAGCATCTTCTGGAAACCTCGCTTCATTTAGATGACTGAGCACCCCTCTGTGTGCTGGACACGGCCCAGGCCCGGGCTCCGACCTCCAGGAGTTCTCTTAGTCCTTAAGTGACAGGATGCCTGCCCTGGGGTCGGGTCATCTCCAGCGCTGTAGAAGCAGGAAAGGGGGTGGGGACTGGGCCTCGGGTACTCTCCTCAGAACCACGTTTTCAAGCACGCTCTCATTTCACCAGGCGGAACTGAATCAGCCCTTCCTGCATTGTTGGAGTGTGATGGTGGAGAATCTTCCCCGGGTGGCACAGGGCAGGGAGGAGGTCAGGGCTTTCCTTAGAGGAGGGCTACAGCGTCCACTTGATACAAGGAGTGGACTCAGACTGCTGGCCTGCCCTCTGACACCCGGGCCCCTGGGCAGGCTGGCGTGGTTGCTAGGAAACCTCAGCCTCTGGGCAGGACTGCCTATTCCTCCAGTAACCCCTTGCCGGCCTCTGGGCAGCGCTCTGAGCAGAGCAGGGGACCTGAGAGGTGGGTGGGGCGTCTCCGGAGGGCTTTGTGTGTGCCTCCCAGGGTCCCCAGGGTTCTGGGCTGCAGAGTGAGTTCACATTTATTGTCACACCACACGCTCCAGTTCTGCCACTTTCTCTGCTGCTTCCTGCAATCTTGGGCCGGGGACTGTGCTGTCGGCTTACTCCTCATGTAGCTCAGGTTTAAGGGGTCATCCCAGGCAGCCTAAGGTCCAGGTACCCCTCTGCTTCTCCCCTGGATGCCCATGGGCTCAGCCTCGGCCTCAGCACACGTGTAGCGGGGACAGCAGTAACTGCCGTGTGGGGATGCTCAGGGTTGGATGACAGGCGCTGGGGCATTACCTGTGAGAGCATCCTTGTCTCCTCACGCTGGGAAGGTGAAGGCAGAGTGGATGGAAAAGTGTCTGGTCACCCCTTATGACAGTTGGATATGCAGCCTTTGTGTGCTGTCTGCCCACTGCCAGAGTGAGACCCTTGAGGAGGGAGAACAGCCTCACTGGGGAGCCAGCAGGTGGCGCTTGCGCTCTGAGGCCAGTTCATAGGCCATTGGTTTGGCCAGACATTGCGCGTCCATTCCCAGGGCTGTTAGCTTAATGTGTGCCCCCTTGCTGTCACCCTGCGTGAGCCAGCGCCTCCCTGGCCAGCTCCTGACTCTCAACACCGCTGAGTCTTGCTCCCAGACTGGTCTCTGCACAGGCGGCATCAGCTCTGTGAGAACTAGTGGGGAACCTGTCGGGCCCCACCCCAAGCCCGCTGTAGAACGAGATCCCCACGTTTATCTTCAGATTGCTGTACCAGAACTGTGACTGGCCTCCGCCCCAGTGCGTGCTCCTGGGACCTGCCTGGGCCTGGGAGCCATCGCCAGCACAAGGCAGGGCAGAGTCCTCCCCACACACACCTTCCAGGACAGCACTAGCAGCCCCTGCAGTCGCCTGCGCCCATGAGAGGCTCACTGCCTGGCTCGCTCAGACCTTCATGCAGGGAGCAGGTGGGAGCACAGCCAGGGCAGAGCAGGCGGGGCCGGGGTGGCCAGGGCCTGGTGTCTCAGAACCTGGTTCCTGCGGCAGATTCAGGCAGGACTGGCCAGGCCCTGGGCCTGCTCTCGGGGACATCTGGTGCCCTCCCCAGGTTTCTGAGCATCCTCATGGCCTCCTGACCAGCCCCTGCTCAGAGCAGCTGCTTCCCAATGACTGGTTTGAACGCCCTTGCTGCCTGCACGTGCTCTCTGATCTGAACGCCGGCTGGGTGTACATTTCAGTTTTGCCCACGCCCTATCAGCGGGTCCGTGTCCCACAGGGCCGCGTCTTAGGTGGGCATTTAATTGGGTCCTTCATGTCGTCGTGCGCCATCGTGCCAGCGTCCTGCTGGAGAAAGGGAGAAGTGGAAGGGAGGGAAGTTCACTTTTTCAGGTTCCAGAAAAAATGGCTAAGATCAACCTTAGACAAGAAGGGGTGGTCCCAAGTGTCAAATGTCAGAAGGTCGAGCTTGGTTCAAGTCTTGGTTCCTCTCCTGAGGCTGATGGAAGCCGCTGCCTCTTCCCTCGCCTGTTTCCTGTGAAATCCCCCGGGCGTCACAGGAAGATTACAAACTCTAGTGGAGAAGTAACTGCTTTGTGGTTGGTAGAGGGTGATCCTGTGTGACCACCCTCTGGTCCTCCCTCAAAAGCTGGTGCCGTGATGCCCACGATCCAAGGCCCAGGATGAAGCCTATCCGACAGCAGGGTCAGGCTGGCCTCAGTACTCCTGCCCTGCCCAGCCCTTCCTCCTGGGGCAAAGCTGAGAAGTCTGACAGCTGTCAACTCTGTGACTTATGAGCTATGGGATCGTGGCAAGCAGTGGCCTTAGTCCCCTGCCCCAAAGCATCACAGGAGCAGAGTAAGAGACAGTGGACTCTGTGGGGAGTATGCTAGAGGGCTTCTCAGAAGAGGCAATGCCAGATTTGGGCTTCAAAAGATGAGCACAACTTTTCCAGGTGGTAGAAGCAGAAGAACTCAGGGAGTGTCTAGATGCTGCTTGGGTGTGACATTCAAGAACAGCCCTACGGGCAGCCAGTGGCGTGGATCCCATGTGGCCACCTGTGTAGTTCAAGTCCCAGACCTAGAAGCTTGAGAAACATGCCAGGTGCTTGTGCGTGCCCCAATCCTGAAGGAGAATGGAGAAGGGATTGCTATAGAAGAGCAGCAATGTAAGAAGTATGCGGTGGGGACCAGCAGATGGCCTAATGGTAACGTCGCTGGACTCCCACGTAGTTGACTACGGTTTGAACCCTGGACCTGCTGGCTTAAAACTCACGCCGGGTGGGGGAACCAGCAGTTAGCATAATGGCTATGTCGCTGGACTCCCATGTAGTTGACCGCAGTTTGCGTCCCGGACTTGGTGGCTTAAAACTCGCGCTGGGTGCGTGTGCGTGTGTGCCCAAGATCCCTAGAAGAGAATGGAGGAGAAGGGATTGCGGTGTGACCATCCCCCCTGTGGGGTGATTTCTCGCTTTCTGTCTCTATGTCTCTCTCTGTCTGTCTGGCGAGCGCACGCGCCCTAAAGCGAAAAATCTCTCCAAAAAAAACCAAAAACCAAAAATCAACTCACGCTGGGGGTATATGTGTGCATTCCCAAATCCCGAAAGGAGAATGGAGGAAAAGGGATCACAGTGTGGCCATCTCCCCAGGGGATGATCTCTTGCTTTCTGTCTCTCTGTCACTCTCTGGCGAGTGCACACATCCTATAGCAAAAATTTTCTCTAAAGACAAGTGTGCGGTGGACGTCCAGTATGTGGGAGGCAGTGCCGATGCCATGGCCCGAGCATAAGGCAGGCTGCTGGGGAGTGTGCTGGACGGGAACAGGGCCCAGGTTCCTGCCCTGGGCAGTGGGGAGCAGTCTGGAGGTTCCACAGTCCATGGTAGATCTTTTATCCTGACGACCATGTAGACGCCTAACCCTGAGGATGCATGGTTGAGCTGAGTAGGTCCTGGAATGTCAGGCCCAGGGCTGCTCCTCTATGTGGGTCAGCAGGAGTCTGGGGCCCCTGAAGCAGTGGGTTTTGTGTGTTGGTCATGACCTACCTGCTCAGAAGCTGTAACTTTCAGGGGCCCGGCCCTATGGCCTAGTGATTAAGGGAGTCAGAGTCTACATGGCCAACCATGCAGTTCAAGTCCTGGACCTGGTGGCTTGAAAAACACAGCAGGCAAGATTCTGTCACATTGACTGCCTAAGAGTCGTGCAGTAAGTAGCAGCCATGCGTGAGCGCATCTCCATCCACTTTGGCCAGGCTGGTGTCTGGTTAGCAAGGCCTGCTGGGAGCTCTACTGCTTGGAACATGGGATCCAGCCCAAGGCCAGATGCCAAGCGACAAGACCATTGGGGGAGGAGGTGACTCCTTCAACACCTTCAGTGAGACGGGCACTGGCAAGCAGATGCCCAGGGCGGTGACTGTAGACCTAGAACCCAGTCACTGCTGAAGTTTGCATGGGCACCCACTGCCAGCTCTTCCACCCTGAGCAGTTCATCACAGGCAAGGAAGATGCTGCCAGTAACCATGCCCACGGGCACTGCACCATTGGCAAAGGGATCATTCATCTTGTCTTGGCCCAGATTTGCAAGGTGGCTGACCAGTGCGCAGGTCTGCAGGGCTTCTTGGTTTTCCACAGCTTCAGTGGGGGAACTGGTTCTGGGTTCTTCCCAACTGATAGAACAGGATTACGGCAAGAAGTCCAGGCTGGAGTCCTCCATCTACCAGCCCCCCATTTCCACAGCTGTAGTTGGGCCCTACAACTCCATCCTCACCACCCACAGCACCCTGGAGCCCCGTGTGCCTTCCTCGTAGACAATGAGGCCATCTATGTCATGTTGTATAAATCTCGGCATTGTACACCCGACCTACTAACCTGAGTGGGTGATAGGCCAGATGTGTCCCCCATCACTGCTCCCCTCAGATTGGGTGGGGCTGGAATGTTATCTGACAGAATTCCAGGGCAGCCTGGTGCAGTTCGCCTGCACCCCCTCACTCTGCACACACGCCCTCACCTGCCCAGGACACCTACTGCAAACGGCTTTCAGGCGCAGAGATCGCCAGTGGTGCTGGGAGCCCGCCGAGCCGGGGAAATGCCCCTGACAGAATTCCAGGGCAGCCTGGTGCAGTTCGCCTGCACCCCCTCCCTCTGCACACACGCCCTCACCTGCCCAGGACACCTACTGCAAACGGCTTTCAGGCGCAGAGATCGCCAGTGGTGCTGGGAGCCCGCCGAGCCGGTGAAATGCCCCTCACCGCGGGGACACATGCGTGCTGCCTGTTGCCCTGTGGCGGTGTGCTTCCCCAAGGTGCCAGGGCTGCCATTGCGCCACCAAGGCCAAGCACACCATCCAGCTTGTGGATCGGGCCCCGCTGGCGTCACGGTGGCCATGAAGTGCCGTCGTGCTCGGTGGAGACCTGGCCAAGGGCGGCGAGCTGAGTGACACCCCGCGGTGGCTGAGCCCTGGGCTCACCTGGGCTGCAAGTGGGACCCGCTGGCCGGCGTGCCTTTCTGCACTGGTAAGTGGGGGAGGGGATGAGAGGAGTGCTTCTGAGGCCCAAGAGGACATGGAGGAGGTTGGTGGGATTCTGTTGAAGGAGAGGGTGTTGTAGCTGAGATATTACAAAGATCAAGACCACTGGGATACTCAAGTTTTAGGAGCCTTTATTCCTAGCCAGGGACTGCCGCCCCTGCCACTGGCAGGGAGTGTTTGGGACGACAGCCCCGACCAGCAGTTTTGCAGAACATTTAAGCACAGAAAGCACAAGGGGAGTGGTATGCTTTTGAGGAAGAGCCCCAGGGGTTGAGGGTGAGGGGTGTTGTAAGGGAGGAGGGCCAGCTGCAAGGTGGTTGGTTACTTTTCTCGGCAAGGCGCAGTGTCAGCGGTTTACAGAAGCAGAGCAGCATGCCTTTGTAAGTGACGACCACATCCTTGTTTTTCCACTTCGATGAGGAGGCCTGTGGGGTGTTCCTTAGCCTAACGGACACCATTTTTCTTCATCTATCCTAGTCCATTACGTTCCCCACTGGCTTATTCCGAGATTCAAATCCTTGGATCTGTGTCATTTACCAGAGGGGACAACAATGAGTACTCCTCATTATTATCATTAATTTAAGTGATTGGATTCTTTTTTAACATAGTTACTCAGCCAGTTGATGACACAGGGCCCTATTGCCGCCTCTGTCAGTAATAAAATTAATGGTTAGCCAAGCTGGTTATGAGGGTAGTCAGCCAAGGCGACCAGTTAAATAACTTCTCAAACCAGTTTTCTTCTTTCTCTTTTCCTCTCTTTCCTGACTCTTTTTTAATTGACTCAGACTTTCTTTTATTACCCCAGGATGGTTGGTGTAAAAACAGCAAGCTTCACTCAATGTCAAACATAGGCCTCTCTGTTTCAAAGAACAAGAGGTCCAAGCCTCTTCTATTTTGTAAAACCATGTCGGCCAGTGATCCGAGGGTCTTCCAGTCCTGCTATATTTAGTTTTAAATCTTGTAGGTCCTTATTTACCTGGGCTGAGAGGGCTTTTAGGTTTTTGTTTTCTCTCGGCCTCCCTCTCCAGAGTAATAGATTTGAGGGAGGATGTGGGTCAAAACACAGAAGTGTGGGGGAAACCCACGGTTCTCAAACAGGCTAGGATTTACGCAGGGGGTTACACCATTTGTTAGTCTCAGTGGGGTCGTCATTTCACTTGGGTGTGGTGAAGCCAACGTTGCTCCCCGGGGACCTTGACTGCCATAGGTGTAGTCAGGGTGAAGGGAAAGCCCAGCTCAATGGGTCACCAGCGAGGCAGGCCCCTGCTTTCAGACTCAGACCAAGTCCCCGGGCTGGAGGTGGTTGGCGGGTGTCAGCTGGGTTGAAGATGTAAAGGCCAATGAGCTCCCCAGAGAAGGTGTTGCGTCCTCTTTGTTGAAACCTGTGGGGCTGTAGGGACTTTAAAGAGACTTTAAAGACTTTAGAAAGACCCCCCTTTATCTCCTCACCAATCTTGGGGATAAGAAGGGGTGGTCTTCCAAACATTATTTCAAAGGGGGTACTCCCTGTACATAAGGGGTACAGTGTGCACGCAAGAGGGCCAAAGGGAGGAGACTCACCCAGTTTTGGCCAGTCACCAGTTTTAGCGTGGTTAAGGTTTCTTTAAGCGTCCTATTTATTCTCTCTACCTGTCTTGCATTCTGAGGTTGATAGACACAGCGATGTTCTCCATTTTTTAAAATTTATTTATATTATCATCATAATCTTCTTTATATTACATTGGATTACATATAACTTTACATTGACTTCCATTGCTTTTTCAAAAGGGAATGCCATGCATGTCAGTCAATACAGAGACATCAATCTCCCCGCTTTATCATTCAATGTCTTTTCCATGCATTTCCCAATAATTATTATTATTATAATTTTTTAAAACAGTCAATCACTATTGCTCATTTGGCTTGTTAAAAGACTTCACCCATCATGAAATACTTCCCAGACCAGTCCGGTTGAGAATACTATACACGTCATCATCAACAGATAATAAACCATATCTGTTTCTCACTAACATCCTCTCTATTGTTCACTTGCTATCTTTCTCTATCCTCTTCTCTCTTTTTTTTTTATAGTTTATTTTTTATTATAATTTTTTTTTTCCCATCACAACACACAAGTGAATTTTCCA